GGCTTTGAGCCCTTCAGCCTGAAGTCGCTTGCTGAGGACATCACAGGTGGTTGCTAGCCAGCCAGCTCCCGCCCAGAAGCCACGGGGCGAACGCTGCTGCGTCTCCACGCTGGCCCCGCTGCGGTCTCCCAGAGTCCCTGCAGCCCCCGGCGGCGCTTGCTGGCGTCACACTGACAGCCTGGAGTGCCCTGCTGCCCGGACGCGGGATCCGCGCTGCCTCTGGGTACCTGTTGCTCAGACCGGCTTCTGCCCTGTGAGGGGCCAGCTGTCGCCCCAACGAGTGTCCTGTTTTTCTCGCCTCCTCCTGCGGGCGGTTCACCCAGGAGTGAGCTGCGAGGCTGCGTGTCTCAGCTGCTCCACCAGCGTTTGGGGACGGGGTACTTCACAGGGACGCAGGGCTGGGATCGGCAGCAGATTCTCTCTGTAAACGTGTTTCTTGTTTCTTCACAGGGATCTTCGCTTTAACAGAATCAGAGAGATCCAGCCGGGGGCATTCAGGGGGCTGAGAAACTTGAACACACTGTAAGTCTCCCCGTTGTCCTGGGCACCAGTGCAGAAACCATCACGTCATCGCGTCCCCGTCCTTTCCCCTCCCCCTCCCGCGTGTCCCGGACGCTGGGGCCACCCCACTGCCCCCGGCAGGCAGGCGTGGCTGGCGAGGTGGAGGTGGAGCCTGACAGAGGGTCATGCACTCGAAACCCTGGATTCAGGGGCCCTTGTGGGGTCGTCCCTCTGTCTTGTGTGATGCCCAAGAGCCTGTCCGTCCTCTGTGGGTGTGTCCTGTCCCAGGCCTGTGCCGGTTCACATCTGCCCCCACAGCGTGGACCCCTGGGGGGTTGGGGTACCATCTGGCTGTGCCCCAGTGTCTAGCCCACAAGGGTGGAGCAGTGCTGGGTGGTTCTGCAGCCGACTCCAGGCTGCCGTGGGCTGTGCCAAGCCAGGTGGGAGGCAGTGCTTGGGTTCTGCCCAGGAGGTGACCTTGGCACAGGGGGTGTGCGGGCCATGGCGGTCGGGAACTGTCACCACTGCCCTGTGGGCCTGGAGGGAGGGCGTGTGGCTCAGGACCGGCTCCCTCCCTGTGAATCAGGCTGCTTATCGGCAGAGACCCACTTCAGGGACACCCCTGGCCTCCCAGCGGGCAGGAGTGGGGACTGTGAGACACAGCAGGGTGGGGAGGGAGGGCTTCCTTCTCTGCTGTGTCCAGAGCTGAGGCAGGGTGGGCAGATGCAGACACCGGTTCCCAGGAGAAAACTGGCCAGAGGGAGGGTGAGACCCCCAATGTGCTGTTGGCTGAGTAGGCCTGTGCTCGGCGGACGCTGTTATTATGGCCCGTGGTCTGAGCATCCCGTGGCCTCCTCCACGGCAACCGGTGTGAGCTGGTATTATGGCCCGTGGTCTGAGCATCCGTGGCCTCCTCCGCGGCAACCGGTGTGAGCTGGTATTATGGCCTCGTGGTCTGAGCGTCCCGTGGCCTCCTCCGCGGCAGCCGGTGTGAGCTGGTATTATGGCCCGTGGTCTGAGCATCCGTGGCCTCCTCCGCGGCAGCCGGTGTGAGCTGGTATT